GGCCGCTGAGCCTGCAAGTCCGGAGCCTGTGCTCCGCAACGGGAGAGGCCACAACAGTGAGAGGCCTGCATACCGCAAAAAAAAAAATAAATAAATAAAAAGAAAGAAAGAAAGAAAGAAAGTGAAAGATAACTTACAAAAAAAAAAAAAAAACACACACACGTACCTGAATGCCGGAAGTACTGTGCCTCAGAAAGGGGTGTCAGTAAAGTCCTACTGGGGGGCGAGGCAGGGGAGAGAGGAAGTTATCATACACATTCTATCCTTGTGAAATATGGAACTGGGTACTTTACATTTTATGGGCTGTGGGTTAGGGAAAGCGTCTTTCAAAGGAGATAGAACAACTCTAGAATTCTGTGCAGAGTTAAGCCTCATAAGGTCTACAAGTGTCAGCTCCGTTGAAAGGGGTGCGATGTCTTATTGCTAATTTCTCTCTTAGGGGTATTATCCATTTTAGGCAGAAAATCCTCACCTTGAAGTTTTGGGGGAAGTGGCTTAATTGCATATGTGGTTAACACACATGCAATTTTTTTCAACTTGTGGTGTTTAAAGAGAATGATGTGTTAAAACAGGAATGTCTCAAGAATTTATTGTGAAAAAAAACGGGCAGCAAACAGTCCTATCTCTTGGTCAGTATGTGTAGCTTATTGAGAAGAGATCCAGGTTTTTATAGTACATAGTACAGTATATTAAGTGTCATAGGAATACTCATATTACTGACAAAGCAGTACGGAGTCACCTTGAGTTTTAAGCAGCTGACATTTCCTAGGATCGCATTTAAAGGAAGCTTATAAGCATTAGCTAAACGTTTTGCATAAATAGTGGCCTCATTACAGTCCTCACAATTGATGGCTAAATGTAAGCAAGGAAACAGTATCATTCACGTTGCACTCTGTTGTACTTATTAAGGTTTTTTTCTTTTTTTAAAAAAATAAAATAAAACCTAGATTACAGTTATTTCTGGTTCTAGCTATTTTATCAATACAATACAGCTATAGCAGTTTATGACCACCTCATTCATAGGCACTGTCTATGTAAAGAAATGATTCATTCACTTATTCACTGTGTATTTTTTTTTACTACTGCACAGAGTGAGTAGGGTCTACTAGGAGGAGGTTATATTCTTCGTGGTCAAGTAGGGGGAAGAAGAAATGCTCTGAAATAACTAATACAAAGCAGAATGGGGTGGGTTGTACTTACTGGGGCAGGTTCTAACACAGAAGGAATTCAGAAGAATGATGCTGAGTAGGATGATGGGGAAAGACTTGGAGGAGGAGGGACAATTTGAGTTGAACTCTGAAGACTGGTTAGCATTTCTGTGGGAAGAGATGGAGAGTGTGAGGGTGACCGTTTCAGTGCCAGGGCCATAACAAGCAAGTGCATGGTATGTAATTGATGAGGCCATTGTGGCAGAAGCCCAGGTGCTGGTGGACATCTGAGTTCCTGGAGTCCAGCAGACAGTAGAGTGTGGGAATAAGATTACTGAGAGGTCCGGTCTGGAGATAAATTTGGAGGAGCCATTGGCATGAAAGTGATCTTTGAGATTGGGCTTTGGGTTCTTGTGCCTGGCAGGAAGTTTGACAGGCAGGCGGGATGAGTATATTTCAGTGATGATGTCAGCCAGAGTGGAATATGTAGAGGGGGAAGTAAGAGGCAGTGGAGGCAGCAGAAATGGAGCATTGGTGTGGCACAGCCTTTGTATGTTTCCTTTTTAAGACCTGGGGTGAAGAAGGGAGGGAGGATGGAGAAATTGGGATGATGCACAGGGTGGGTAATGGGGGGGGACGTCTTCCCTAGACACTCAGGCACCTTGGAAACTCAGGGCTGAGCTTTAGTTCAATGAAATCTTATTGAAACCTTTATTCTTTAAGACCTTTAAAAAAATAGAAACTTGAGCTAATTTTAGCCAGATCTAACTTGTGTGTATAAAAATGAACGCTGCTTTTGAAATTCAGCGCATGCAGTATCTCTTTTCATTTAAACAAATGATCCCTCTATTTTCCTCTAAACAGTTTTATTAAGATTTTCAGTGAAGCCCTGTACACATTAACAACGATTCCAGCTTTGCCTTTGATCTTTTTCACCGTGGATTTATTTATCTCATGTGATATGCGTAAATCACATTATGCCACCTACTTGACTTTGGAGCAGTTGTTCATTTGTGGCAATTCATTTATTGTATTTTGATAAATCACATTAATATGGGTGTGTTTCATAACTTTAGTGTGGACTCTTAAATGTTATTTGAGTGTGTGTGTGTTTGTGTGTATATGTGTGTGTATATATATACATTTCCAGCTACTAGTCACAGTTTTCTGAACAATTTGGCTTCTCATTTATACTTTATAGAAAATGTAGAGTTAGTGAGCCTTGGCTCTGGGGAGAAAGACTACATAGCTCAAAGTGAAGGAGAAAAGCTGGACATTATCTGGTTATATTGCGTTATTGGGGAGTCAGCCTTAATATAATGAAGGAATATTTGAGGATTATTTAAGATATTTTTTTAACCTGAGTTATTATTTTCTTTTGCGATACACGGGCCTCTCACCTCCGTGGCCCCTCCCGCTGTGGAGCACAGGCTCCAGACGCTCAGGCCCAGGGGCCATGGCTCACCGGCCCAGCCGCTCCGCGGCATGTGGGATCTTCCTGGACCGGGGCACGAACCTGTGTCCCCTGCATCGGCAGGCGGACTCTCAACCACTGCGCCACCAGGGAAGCCCTAACCTGAGTTATTTTTGATGGGGTGTCTGTAGTCCCCTAAATGGCCCAGAATGAGGCTGTGACTTACCTACCTTTCATAAAAGACGAGAAGGTTAGGACAGGAGTGACAGGAATGGAGAAAACAACTCAACAACTCCAGGGGGCAGACCATGCTGTCTGCAAAGATTCAATGAGCATCTAATATGTGAGAGGCA